GGAATGGCTAAATCATGTTTATTCAGTTCTTAGTTTTCGCTGATTGACTCCCCGTTAAGTCATCTAATATCTAGGTTCGAAGTGAGATTATGGGAGCTTTGCGGAGGGACACAACGCTAGAAACAGCTTTGAATCCTTATGCATACCGACGTACTAAACGACAGTCGCTTCGGGAAGCTAGAGTTACTGAAAAGCTTGAGAAGCAGCAGAAGATGGAACAAGAGAGAAAACGCCGTCAAAAACACACCGATCTCATGCAGGCAATTATTCAGCACGGAAGAGAATTTAAGGAATATCATAGGTTTGTATCAGAAATCTTTTTTTGTGCATTTGTTAATACATGTATTTTTGTAGGAATAATCTTTTGAAGACCCAAAAGGTCAAAAAAGCCGTTATTACCTACCATCAAAATAATGAAAGGGAAAGAAAGAAGGACGAAATCAAGAATGAGCGACTTCGTATGCAAAAACTCATGCAAGAAGACGAGGAGGGTTATCGCGCTTTGCTGGATGAGAAGAAGGTATTTTTTTCACTTTACGTTTAGCTATTGAAATTCCGTGTATTTTCACTTAAAACATTCCAGGATCAACGTCTTGTGTACCTTCTGCAGCAAACTGATGAGTACGTAGAGAGCTTGTGTAGTCTCGTACGTCAGCATCAGAACACAGAGAAGAAAAAGAAGAGAGAGGAACGAAAGTTAGCTAGATTGGAAGGTGTGTTTTGTCAAATCCTGGATATTCTTATACATATCGAGTCAGTACAGGAAATCATATGCTGTCTATGGTATCTGATTACTGCTGGCATTATATCACATCTCAAACCATCTAATCTCTGAATTTTCAGATACGGTTGAGATATCTTTCTTTCCAGAAGGAGAAGCTCGTGTACATGTCCGTGAGACAAGCACGGGCAGGATTCTGACGGGTGACGAAGCACCAAAACCCGACGAACTTGAGTTATGGTTAGAGACACATCCCGGATTTGAGGTGTGTTCCGAGGTGTGCGGCGTTTTATGTCTGTGGCGTT